GTATGACAATCTAAATGTTGTATGATGCTATGGTTCTTGCTTAAAAGCTCTTTGCTTGTCTTTCCCTTTTGCTTAAAAGCTTGTTTGGCTCTTTGTGTTTGAGCTCTTTTCTCATGCAATGCTTCACGAACCAAGATAGCAATTGAGTATGCGATGACACTTTGCGACACAACAGATGATATGCACCAATGATATGTATGTATGCTATGGGAAGTATGGTCACTAATGTGCACAAGTCACGTTACCGGCAATACTCAAAGGCTAGTCTCGATGGGTAAGCGCCACAAAAAAGTAAGGCTATGATGGTTATCAATGTAATGGGAAGAATGACGTATCACGATACCAAGATGAGTTTACCGCTTCTTGCTTACGGTATGGTGTCAAAATGGTGGAGTGGTTGTTGTCGTTGACGCGTCCGAGGCGAAGATGAGCGGCAGTGATGTTGATGTTGAACCGTACCTAAATAGCCGAGACATAATAGGACACGGAACCGCAACTCAAATTCTCAAAGCACAATGTGGCAAAAACGTATTGGAGTGCGAAACGAGTAAGCGATGGTGGTTGCGGAAAGTGGTGGTGGTATGGGGACGTGTATGCGGAAGTTGGGCGGTGGCTGAAATTTGGGGGGGGGGATTCAGTTTCATCAGGGTTTTATAGACGTTTGGGGGTTTACGGTCATCCGGTCGTCGGACGTCTGGAGGCTGTCGGACATCCGGTGCCTGGGCGAATTTCGGGCACGGGAAGAACAGCTAGGGTTCGTGGTGGAGAGGTCAAAATCCGTCGAATCCGGGCGATTTTGCGGATGAAAAGCGTGGAAACGAAGGGGAAAAGCTAGATCCAATCAAGGCAAAGCAAATCCACGGATCAAATCCAACAAAATTTCATCACACCAACAAATCACAAAAAAATTGGGGCTATTTATGTGGGGAATTTTCGAATTAGGGACAAAATCAACGAAACAAGGCTAGAAAACACAACGGGGAGGCTCCGAAATCATGATCAATGTGGCTCTAGATACCAAGGTGATATAGGGTGGAACCCTAGATGGCTGATCTTTCACGAGAGGAGAGGATCCCGCGATGAATACGAGGGGAATCACGAGGGGAAACACGAGAGAAACACTAAAACCAAGAAGATTGATCACGCATATGCTAGATTCTCGAACACAAAAGAGTTCACACGATCCACGATCAACAAGGGACGATACACGGTAACTGGTTCTTCTCCAAAGGAGGTCTTGATGGGGCCACCCAAAAGGGGGTCTTGAATCCAATGGGATCTTCTCCGTAGAGGGGCTGCGGTCTTTCTCGAGGAGTAGATCCGATGTGGATGAGAGAGGCTCTATCTTTAATATGAGCTATCACAACGCTAACCCTAGAAAAGAGGAGGTGGGGTCTATATATAGTCGGCTCGGGTGTGCTTCGATCGGACGTCCGGTCGGGGTCGGATGTCTGGGTCGTTGGTCGTCCGGAGGTCTTCGGAAATCCGGCATTTTGGCTCGGGAGTGGTAGTGCCGGTCGTCCGGAGGGGGCCGGTCGTCCGCAGCCTGGGATTCGTCAGACGTCCTAGGAGTTTCGAGCAGTCCTTCTTCTTGTCCATTGAGCTTGGTGTCCTCACCGTCTTGTCCGTTTGGCATAGTTGATCCGTTGCCGTCCTCCAAGTAACTGATCACACATAGGGTATCCGCTTGAGGTAGTAGCCATGTCTCATGCATAGAAAGTGGTAGTTCGGAGAGGAGCGAGTTCACCTTATCTTCGATAGCCCTGGCTCGTGCTCTTGTCATTGGTCCAAGTGGTGTCGTGGGAGACGTAGGTAGGTCCATGGGTATGACTTTGTGATGCTCCGCATCAGTTTGTTCAAATGCATCAACAAATTCGGCATCAAACAACTCATGAGCAACTGAAGGAAGATCTGATTAAGTATTTGTGGGCGATTAAAAAAGCAAACAATGTTGGAGTGTAATAGTTGAACTTATTTAATCAGAACTACTACTTCATTTGAAAGTTTGAACTATTCTAAACTATATATGCGGCTATTTGAGTGTGCGGGCTTTAAAACTGTTGGGGTCGGATGTATTTGGGTAGTGTTGGATGGACAGCTCCCGCAGTGAAACCTATTTGACGCTACAGGCGCCGGTAATTATTGTTTTCTGCAAACCGGTGCATGCAGCCGCTTTATCTGGGCTCGTCCCATTTCGCGCTCGCCTCCCAACCCATTATCTCTTTCCTTAGCTTATCCAAGGCGCAAAAATTCAGCGAGAGCTAGGACTCGAACCGAAGATTTCCTGGTTCACATCGCACTATGGTAACAACCCTGCCAAAGGAACTTCATGCGCTAAGTTCCATCACTTTTTTTCTTTATCATCTTTTCTTTCGTTTTTGTTTTTTTCATTTTTAATTTTCATTTTTTTATTTTTTATTTTTATTTTTCCTTCTTCCTCGTTTGATGATTTTTTTCAAATATCTCCACATTTTTTAAAAATTGATGAACTTTTTCAAATTCTTTGAACTTTTTCTAATTAAATGAACTTTTTTCTAATTTGATAAACTTTTTTTAATTCGTTGAATGTTTTCCAAATCGATGAACTTTTTAAAATTTTGATGAACTTTTTTCAAGATTGATGAATCTTTCCTTCAATTTTGTGAACTTATTTCAAAAATCGATGATTTTTTTTAAACTCGATGAACATTTTGTCAAAATCGATGATCTTTTTTCAAAACCAATGAACACTTTTTTGAGAACAATGATTTTTTTTCGAAAACGATGAAGTTTTAAATCTTTGTCATAAATTTTTTTCCAAAATCGGCAGACTTTGTTAAGTTTGTGAACTTTTCTTAAAAATTGATGAACTATTTCTCAAAATCAATGAACTCTTTTTTTAGTTTGTGAACTTTTGTCTCAAAATCGATGAACGTTTTTAAGTTCTTGATTTATAAAAAAAATTAAAAAAACTGAATGATAAAAAAATAGCGTGGCCATACTAGTTCATGTACAGTTAGCGCTAACCATAATCTCTATTGTCCAATGGCTGTGGTGGTCAGCTATTGTCGAACAATCCTCGCGTTCATGAGCGATGCGAGTTCGATTCCTGAAGCAGACACTTTTTTTTGCGGTTTTTGTTCTCTACGCTTTCCCATCGCGGGCCTGCCCAGCAAGGCACTGCTGCAGGTGCCAGCTACCTGTTCGGGCACTTAAGGTGCCGAATAGGAGCTCCCGGCTCCCGCATCACTGTCCGGGGACTGGTTCCCCTGTTCGATGCGAGAGCAAATTTGGGGTCGGTGTTGGGATGCCCTTACGCTTGATTTTGCCTGGCAAACAAAACCAGCCCACTTGATTTTGCCTGGCAAACAAAACCAGCCCACTTGATTTTGCCTGGCAAACAAAACCAGCCCACTGATTTGGGCCTAGCTATGAGCTCTGGGCTAGCTGACAGTAGTTTCACTGGAACAGTACAAGATTTGAGAGGATCAGTTTCGGTGGATCAAATCAGATGCATGCATCATGCTGGGAAGAACAGGTTCGCGTTTCTTTAAATGTTTGTTGATGGATTGGCGACGATCGAAGAGCCATGACTTTTTCTTGGGTAAGGAACGCACGCAGTGTACAAGTATAATATACCACTCTAGTGGTCCAGTGGAGCAGGTGCACACTTTCTGCTGTTTTTGTCTTGCAAGTGGTACGTGGCTAGATAGGCATGCATGCATCCCCCGAGAGATGCCCATAGAAATTACGGCCGTGCCATTCAAAATGGTTGGTTCCATATAGTATATGTACTCGATCGATGTTTGTAGAATCCTTCTGGTTGCACTAGTGATGTCAAGAGATGATTGCTGTAAATATGGTTGTTGTTACAAATTATTGATCATTATTTTGAACGATCTAAAATTTTCCTTCTTCTTTTTACCCAATCAAGGGAGAACTTTGATCTTGTCTTAGAGCATCTTCAAGGGAGACCCGCAAATCACCGGTATATGGCCGATCGGATACATTTGTTCACTTTTGCAATTCAATGGGGATTCGTATCAGTCTGCGAAGTTATCCGGGCGTCCAAATTCCGGTATTTTGAAGATAAACGTGGGGGAGTTTTGCCAGAGAACATGCACTTGACCAATCACATGCATGTCCCTCTCTTATCTCTCTCCTCCTAAATCGCACATGCATGGTCTTCCTCTTCTCTCTCTTCCCAACTAGACACTGAACCACAAATATCCCACCACATGCATGGTCCTCACCTACCTTTTCTCCTCCCAACCGGATACTTCGTAATTAGGATTGGATGCCTCTTGTATCATGTCCGCGAACCACGTCCAGACATAAAAACGGACATATACCAAAGGAATTTGTGGGTCGGCGTTGGAGATGCCCTTACTTTGCTAGTTGTTGATGTGATTTTTTTGTGTGCGTGCTTTGATGTTCATTTGTGTGCATCCTAAGTACGAATAGATCGTGTGTGTGCTCATTGTGTGTTTGTATCTCCTTCATACTTCATTCTAAGCTACTCGCTCTGATCGATATTAATTGTATTAGTACAACTTTATACTAAATTTGTGATAATTCATGTGGATAGGAAGGAGTAATAAAGTTCACCACTGGTTCAAAAAAAATGCATGGAATCAATCGGGTAGTGCAGTGCAGTGTACCTTTTCCTTGTATGTATATTGTATAGTATGGCTCTGTAGCATATGCGGGGGTGTCCCGTGCAAATGCATATAGTAGAATGCAAGAGGAGCAACGTTCAAGGAACCAGTTGGTTTTTCTGACCTTGATGTTTGCGACTTGCACATGCATCTGGTTCCCCTTTTGTAATTAGGGTTTAGGGTGTCTCTACCTTGTCCTGTGGATCACATCGAGCGAGCCAGGCAAATAGGTACTCAGTATGGAATGGAGGTCATTACCCGTCTATAAATAGGAAGGGTTCGTGGGTATCTTGTGCAAGCCACACGACCGTGCCCTGCCTCATAGCTATCTAGGTGCAAGCAAGAGGAAGCTCGGCTTCAGCAATGGCGTCCAGAGCAGCAGCCGCCGTTGTTTTAGCCCTGGCCTTGGTCTGCGCCGCACATTCGGCAGCAGCCGCCGGGAATCTGTCCCCTGACTTCTACAAGAAGGCGTGCCCGCAGCTGGACCAAATCGTGGCATTCCATGTGGCGGAGACCTTCCGGCGCGACGTCGGCGTGGCGCCCGGCCTCATCCGCATCCTCTTCCATGACTGCTTCACCCAGGTGCGTACCAGCGTCCTCTAGGATTTCTTTCATTTAATGAAACCATAAGGTCTTGTATGTATGTATGTATGTATGTATGTATGTATGAATAACCCTTATGAATACCATACCGTGGTTACAGGGCTGCGACGCATCGGTGCTCCTTAACGCAACCGACGGTGAGCAGAAGGTGGGGCCCAACCTAACACTTCGGCGGGTGGCGCTGGACCTCATCGAGCGCATCCGCAGCGCGGTGCACACCGCCTGCAAGGACAACAAGGTGTCCTGCGCCGACATCACCGTGCTCGCCACCCGCGAAGCGGTCTTCAAGGCCGGCGGGCCGCGATTCGACGTGGAGCTCGGCCGCCGCGACGCGCTCGCCCCGGCGCCTGCCCAGATCAACAAGCTGCCGGGGCCCTCCTTTCCTGTGCCCCTGCTCATCCAGTCCTTCAAGGGCCGTGGCCTCGACGTGGCGGACCTGGTGGCCCTCTCCGGCGCGCACACCTTCGGCGTCGCGCACTGCTCGCTCTTCCAGGACCGCTTCAAGCCGGGCTTCGGGAACCCGCCCATCGACCCCAAGTTCGCCACGATGCTCAAGGACAAGTGTGCCAATGACTTCGACCGCAAAAAGACGCAGAGCCTCGACGTGCGCACGCCCGACGCCTTCGACAACCAGTTTTACATGGACCTGGTCGCCAAGCAGGGGCTGTTCAGGTCGGACCAGGGACTCATCGAGGACCCGGCCACCAAGGCCTTGGCCGCCCAGTTCTCCCTCGACCAGCGCGCCTTCTTCGAGCAGTTCGCCAAGTCCATGACCAAGATGACCAACATGGATGTGCTCACAGGCAAGCAGGGCGAGATCCGGAACGACTGCGCCGTCCCCAACAAGCGCGTCACCGCCCACGGCGACGAGGAGGGCCATGCCGCCGACATGTGAGAGATGAAATAATCTAGTGCTCGTGAGTGAACGCTAGGATGCACGCACCATGTGTTTGTGTGTGAGTGTGCTGTGCTGTCTAGTCAATAAGACGAGTGTGCTGCTTAGTTCGTATGCTTCCTATAGCATAGGGTCGACCGAGCTTCCTTTTGCACGCCGGTGTAAGATTTCTTTCTTTTTTTTTGCGGGAAACCGGTGTAAGATTTCAGTAGCATCGTAATGTCGTCTTTTAGATTTCCAAAATCGTAATGTCTCACTAAGCTGCAAGACCAGACATAGCAATCTCAGTTCTTGTGTTTTTGCTCTTTGTTTTTCATCTTTCGGTTTCTTGTTTCGCGGGCCATGCCAGGTCAGGATTTCGTTTTTCTTCTTTTTCCTTTTTCCTTTTTATTTTTATTTCCACTTTTTCTTTAATGTATTTTTACCACTTTGTGTTTTGTCTTTTTGCTTCTTGATTTCTTATTTTATAGTTTGAATTTGTTTTTAGTATATGAGCATATATTCACACTATATTGAAGATTTTAAATATATCAGATTCCTTGAAATATATTATTTCTAAAATATATTACCATTTACAAATACACAATAAAAATATTGAAATACATGATGATCATTCTTCTAAACACAATATGAACATTTCATTAATATACGATGATAAATTTTACAATACATGGTGAATATGCTGTTTAAACAGGTGATGAATATATTTCAAATATGCAACAACCATTTTTTAAATACAAGGAAAACATCTGCTAAATATGCGACAAATATTTTTCAAATATGTGATGAACATTTTTTATCAGCATGAATTTTTTTCACATATAGGGCAAACAATTATACACATAGACATAAAGATTATTATTCTTGCATAATATACTATTTAGCTTTAAATGTTTATAACATTTTATTCTTTAAATCTATGGATTTGTTTTTGAAAAACTCAGTAATAAATGGGCTGCGCGCGCGCGCGCGTGTGTGTGTGTGTATGCTCGCTATGTTCACATAATAGCAGGTTCTCTGACTTGACGTCTCACAACGGGCGTGTCTATACATCGCCTAACAAGAGATGGAACATAGCGTCGCCCATTGCGGGCATTCAGTTTGGCTGGCCCAGTTAGCATCCTGCAGATTAGTTTTTTAATGTTTTTCCACTGGTTTTCTTCCTTTTGAATATATTTTAAAAAATAATTTTATTCCAAAATTTTATTTACTTTTAGAAAAACATGCATTCAATTTTTTATGCAATGTATTACTTAATTAATAAAATATAAATATATGTCACAAAAATTATATGATTAAAATTCCCTTTCAAATAGAAATCCAATGATATACTTTTTATAGCATATAAACCATAAGTTGTCAATTATATAGATGGCCAAAATTTAATCCAAAGTACGTGCGGCCAAATAAACCTGTTGAAGGAAGGACATTATTGATAGATAGCATGAATATATCCACCAAGAAACTAATCAACATGTTGTTGGAGATGGTATAATTAAAGTTGTGAAGCTGATGATATGGTAGTTATTTCGCACACGTGGGATCTTATTCGGCCTGGTTTTGCTTCCTGGGAGCACTCCCTCGTGAGTTTGGGCCTTTGGTACCGAGCATTTTAGTTCCGGCTGCTGACAGAAATTTCCCCAACACGAGAAAAAAGCTGACAGAAATTTGACAACAAACTATAAGAGCGTCTACATCTGTGCTCCCTAAACCTCACTATACACTCGGACGGATGGCCAGGTCACTGACCGGTAAAAAGAAAAACCCAACCCAGACGAGCTCCTCGTACCGGCCCCAAACGCCCAGGCTAACCGGCACCCCTCATATCCAGCCTAAATCTGAGGAGGATATGAGGAGGCCCGGGCACTTCCGCCACGTTGCACCAACCCACTGTGGCCCGCTCCTCACCTGCCCCCACAAATAACCGAAGACGGATGAGCAAACCCTTGGCAAACCTTAGTCGCTCGACCTCTCCGCTCCTCATCTGTCGCATCCCTTTCCTCTCTCCTCCCAATCCCCTATCCTCCGCCATATCCGACAGCGATTCTTATCCATTGATTAGGTGAAGCTCGCTGCGGAGTCCCCTATCTCGTTGGCGCCCGACAAGGAGGAGCAAGCGCTCTGCATTGCCCTCCGTTGGTCGCGGATGGACAGGGGCGGGAGCTCCTCTTTCGCGTCGTCGGTGGCGGGTCGGGTGGGCAGTTGTAGCTCTGCAGCACCTTGGTACATGGCAGGGATCATCGTGTCCTCCTTCTCCTCGTTATCGGACAGCGACACGGCGGATGGCGACGCTCTGCCTGCCACCAATGCCTAGGCCGAGGACACACTAGTGCAGAACCGGGCAATAGCACCGGTTCGTAAGGCCTTTTAGTGCCGGTTCGGTAACCGGCACTAAAGTGTGGGCACTAAAGGTCCCCCCTCCCCTTTAGTACCGGTTCAGCATGAATCGGTGCTAAAGGGCAACCACGTGGCACGAGGCAGCTCCGGGGGCAGGGAGCCCTTTAGTACCGGTTGGTGACACCAACCGGTATTAAAAGGTTGGGGGATTTTGGGTTTATGATTTATTTTTCATTTAATTTTATGTTTTTCATTTAATTCTTTTTGGTTTGCTGGTATTTTACGATACTACATATTGTACACGTTATGCATATATATAAATAGAATTTCTAATAGAACCGATCATATATATACAGCCGGTCTATTCTGATAATATTATCAGAATAGTTATTCTGATAACACTTCCGCATTGCACGCTCAATGCAAGTGCATGTCATTGTTTGAACCAGGTGTGCTGCAGTACTCACACGAGTGAACTTCGTATCGAAAAAAACTGCATGCAGTGTTTTTCCGGTACTGTTTACACTCTAGTTTTTTAACCATTTGTCGGAACGAGGCATGTAATATATCATTGAAAAGCTATGGATTAGATGTAACTTCGCCATGTTGAACACTTTTCGAGATTCCTCACGGTTTAAGAGCAGTTTTGAAAATGGTGCGGCCCACAACGAGTGGCAGCGAGCATTTTTTCGCATTTTTTTCTAAACCACTCGTCAGAATGAAGCAAATGACACACCGTTGGATAGATATCGTCGAGGCGCATCTTTTTCATATATATTTCTTTCTCTAATTCGTTTCGGTTTAAAAGCAGTTTCAAATTTACTAAATCGCAGAATTCTGTTTTTCAAATTTTTTTAAATTTTCAGTACTGTTTTCGCTCTATTTTTTTAACCTTTTGTCGAAACAAGGCGTGTAATATGTCGTTGGAAAGCTATGGACAAGGCGCAACTTTCACATGTAGAAATGGTTTTGAAATTCCGTACAGTTTTAAGTTAATTTTGAAAATCGTGTGGCAGACGACAAATGGCAGCGACCGTTTTTCGCGAAATTTTTACAAACTGGTCGTTGAAAATGATATGCCTCTGGAAAGGTATCGACGAGACGCAACTTTTTCATATAGAACACTCTCTCTAATTCCTTACGGTTTAAGAGCAGTTTTAAATTTACCGAAATGTGGACACTCTGTTTTTCGCGACACCCAAATCGACGTGGGTACTTTATCTAACTAAAAACCGCACTGCATCGGACGAAAAACCGCACTGCATCATACATGTTAGAGAACGGCATGATTTATTTTATTCAAACATAATTTTTTTGAAGGACAAGAAATTAGAGTGCACTTCACATCGGATGTAAATGAACCACAACACTATCAAGAAGTGAACCGCATTACTTTTTTGTGGTACGTAAATCTTCCTAAGCGAGGTGGAGTGCACTTCATGTCAAGTGTTGGTGAACCACAAGACTATGAAAAGTGAACCTCGAGACTACCGTAAACGGGTCGTACTGCATCAGACAGAAAACCACACTTATTTAGACTAAAAACTGCACTTCATTGGACAGACAAGTGCACTGCATGATTTTTTTTTCTGGGACGTATTTTTTCCCAAATGAGATGGAGTGCACTTCTTTAGACTAAAACCTCCACTTCATCAGACTGACAAGTGCACTGCATGATTTCTTTTTTGTGGGACGTAAATTTTTACAAACGAGATGGAGTGCACTTCACGCTGAGCGTTGGTGAACCGCAATACTACCTCGAGACTATCAAATTTTCCAAAACGAGGTGAAGTGCACTTGACATCAAGCGTTGGGCCCGGAAGTGGACCGCAGGGACGGAGCGAGTGAACTACATCTAATAAGGAGTGAGCTGCTTTGAGATGTTCTTGTTTTGTGTTTGCCAAGTGGACCACGGAAAAGTTATATAGCGAACAACGCAAGAGAACAAAGTGAGCTACAAAGCATACACAACTACTGATAGTTTTACACAGCCACACACCCATACATATCGGCACTCTCCACTGGCCGAACCACACAAAATTCTACGGGGTACACTTTCACTAACCATCGTGGTAATGAAGTGCAGTTTTTACAATGAACTAATGAAGTGCAGTTTTCAACAAAAACAAAATTGAGGAACGGGCCATCCAGCCGAACTACATCACTTCACCTTTCCTGCAAATATAAGTAGAATGAACGTCAATAGCAAACCACAGAGGACTTCATTTGGACTTTTTTCTGTTTAGAAAAGCACAAAAATCAATGAAATGCAGAAGAGCATTATGCGTCTCCTGATGCTCTACTCGCCATGTTTGCAGTAGGCCGCCGGGAAGGGCGATGCAGTGGGGAGAGGAGGCCCATGGAACCTCCAGATAGGCCCAGCGCGCTGCATAGGATGCGCCCGCGAGCTGCACCCCAAGCGAGTGAAATACAAAATGACTAAAAAATCACTGTGGCATGTAGCCACCACAACGAAACTGCAATCCTGCCTGAGGAGTCGCAGCGCACTGCACGCCCACGGCCGTGCTGCTCCAGCGACGGAGGATGGGAGGTGGAAGAGGGGGACCGAGGGGCGGCGACCCAAGAACTCGGCGGCACCTGCGCGGGTACTTGGGGCGCGACCTGACCGGGGGAGCCTGGATCCATCGTCGGAGGTTGAGGCTGATGCGCTCATTGGTGCAATGGGGGCGGGGCCTGGCAGCGCGGCGGTGTTGCCCGGCACCGCAGGGAGGTAGTGAATGGGGAGGGGGCGGGGGCGGATCCCACCGGATCCCACGAGGACGACGACGCTGGAGGCGGACCCCACCGGATCCCACGGGGACGACGACGCTGGAGGCGGATCGGATCCGGCACCGGGAGAGGTCGCGGTGGTGGTACGACCACCATGGATGGGGAGGAGGAGGGGTTGTTCTGGTCAACGGAGCAGGGGGCGGTGGCCATCCAGGAGAAGTAGGGGGCGGTGCCACGGGAAAGTGCTGCAGGGGAGGAGGCGGAGCGTGGTGGTAGGTGGCAGGGTAGGGCTCCGGCGACGCGCGGCGAGGGCGGGGCTCCGGCGGTGCGGGTTGGAAGAAGGAGGTCAGCCGCATCGCAGGGAGGGGCCGACGCGGGGTGGGAGGTAGGAGGTCGTCGGGATGGCGCCGCGGCGGCGCGGGGGAAGGAGGTGGGGCGACGGCGCGGGCGAAGATGGCGGCTAGGCGGCGCGGGGGAGGAAGGTGGTGCGGCGGCGCGGGCAGGGAGGTGGTCTGGTGGCGAGGCGGTGGGATGCGGGTGTGGAGCACGGGGGAGCGAGGGGTGGAGGAGAGGATAAGGCGGGGTGGGTTCTGTTTTTTTTTCATTGCGTCCGTAGTTTGGTCGTGGTTAGTTTGTAGCTACAGGTGGGTCGGGGTGTTATCAAAATAAGCTCCGATCTTATCATAATAAGACTCTTAAGGATGTTATCAGAATAGACCCATCCTATATATATATATGTATATATGTGTGAATTAATTAATGATGGTTGTGAGACATTCGAATTAGCTAGCTATATACAATTTCTCCTATACAAGAATGGAAATTTCTCCTATATACAATTTCACCAATTTCCACTCCTGTCTTTGAGATCTGCTCGTTTCGGATGCCATCATGTGAATGTTCTCGCAAACGTAGTATGCACACAGATTATTCCCCGGCGCCTGCTTCAGGGCCTTTACGAGAATGGAATTTGATCAGATGATAATTAATCAAGCATGATAATTAAAGAGATGACAGCTAGCTAGTACTACTTAATTACTTACCATGGGTCGATATCATTTTAGATTTTGTTTCCATGGGCATGTAGTGACCCTGATGAACTTTGCCCAAGCCCTGCCCGCCGACAAAGAAAATGAATAAATGGGTTATTAAATAGAGTTACCAGGAAATGACGAACTAATTAAATAGGTCGAGATATAGTTAATAATGATTGAAATTACATGTTGACTATCCCCTTCATGATGGTGTAGTCAGTTGGTTTCTTAAGTAGTGAGTCTAGTCCTTGAACTGTTCATTCATCAACTTTAATGATTAACAATATCCAGTGAAATCTGGATGCACATAAGTTTGCATGTCTTAATTAAGCGGGCATATGTAAGCAAAAACATGTAGCTAGCTAGTAGGCAAAACATAATTTATAGTACAAGACAGTGTGACTCACTCGAAGTTGTAAGAAAGTAGTATATCTTCATTGTATTTGAGGTGCTTGAAGAACTCTAGCATGCTTTCCTCTACACTTTTTTCGTAATATGGATCTAATTTCCATATGTATTCATTAATGGTATTTGGGTCAACGAACCCAATGCCATAGCATTCACATTTTTCATTTCATAAATCTTCATCCTGCATAATACCACAGAAAAGAATATAGTGAGGATAATTACAGGTAATGATTGATCAAAATGATCACTACAGCTAGCTTGAGACTTAAATTACAGAAAGAAATCACTTAAAGACAATAGCAACTGACGATAGATTTGTCAAGTGCGTCTTGATTGTATAACTGAAATAGTTCTGAATACTCAACGGACACAGCTTTCTCATGGTATTAATGATCCTTCTTGACATTTACCATGCGGGACTCTCGGTTGGAAATCTTGGTAATGCCCATGTACCACTAGAAGAAATCTGTTGATCCATGACGGATTTCGCATGACGTTTTCGAAATCTGTCATGAATGGCCCGGTACAGCCCCGCAAGCCCGCTAAAGCCTGCCAAAGCCCGCCTAACCATTCACGTATAAAAACCAAACCCTAAGTGCCTCCTCCTCGGCCCCCTCCTCTCTCTATCTCTCCCTTCGTCGCAGCCCTCCTCCCCGTTCCCCATCTTCTCACACACATAGCCGCCACCCACCACCACATCGCCTCCTCCCACTGCTCGTCGCCGGCCCTCCTCCTCTCACCTCGCTGCTCCGGCAGCTGCTAGATCCGTCGCAACCCCCACCAATCCATCCCTCGCGCGACCCATCTCTCTCTCTCTCTCTCTCTCTCTCTCTCTCCCGTGAATCGTCGCGCCGCCACAAACATCCGCCGATTCCGGCGACTTCCGCCACCGTGCAGCACGATCATGAGTTCATCTCCGACCCCTCCGCCATCCTGCCCGGCTGGATCCGCAGCTCCCTGCCCCCTGCGCTCGCACTCAAACCCTAGCCCATGCCTAGGGTTTCGGCTGCGGCGGGCGCGTCCGTCGCTGGCGCGTCTCCAGCAGCACCACTCCGTCGTGCATCGCGCCCCCTCGCGCCTCTCCGCCTCCCCCAAGCTCAGTGCGTTCGACTGTGTTGGGCTGGACGGCGGCGACCCCGACGCCCTCTTCCGCGTCTCTGGCGAAGCGATGTGTCCTGTACTCCTGTGGCTACCTCCTCTATTACGCGACGACGATGTCTGGCCTGCACTGCGACCACTGCATTGCTTACAAATGTCTCCGATGAGCACTGCGACCTCTGCCTCCCTCTTCTGCTTGATTCAGCTTGATTTTGTATCTTTCGTCTCAAGAATTGATGATTTAATATTTACAAACATTAATCCCTCTGCTATAGAATTTATAGTCTAGTAGCAAATTAGGCTCATAGTCACTAAATTGTTTGATGCTTTCCTGATTTGATTAAGATGACTGTTGCAATCAGGTAGCTGTAGTTTTAGTTGACTGTACTTTTTTATCTGTATTATGTGAAAGTGAACTTCGGAGTGCAAAATTGTATTTGTTGTGCATTTTTATATCTTTCCAGAACCAAAAGAGATGAATTGAACCTCTTCTTACCGCCTAATAAAAGGGAATGTGCAGAACTGTATGTGCTGTACATTTTTGTATCTTTCTAGAACCGAAAGAGATAGAGAATTGAACCTCTTCTTACTGCCTAATAAAAGGGAGTGTAGTACTGGTTCAATCACTTCGAGAATGCTTCTTGATATACCAGGAAAAGGGAGTTATCCACTTTTAAGAATTACTGGATGTTGCTTTACATTCTACTGTAGCCTTTTTGTCTTTCTGTATTGTGGAATCAGTGTTCCTTGTCTGACATATTTCTCTACTGATGTGAAGTGTATATATTAATATCCCATTAATGTAGTACATAGTCAGTCATAACTACTTTATAATAGTTTAGATATACTTCCCTGAAATGTTATGTGAACCATTGTATAGCTCTTATGTTCATCATTACTTCCCTGTATAGCTCTTCTGTTTATCATTACTTCCAGCTTGGTTGTTATTTTTTGCAGTACTGGTAGAGATCAGATTGCCATAGCCCATTATATAAGTTCTATGTTTGATTGATTTCCTCTACCAATTCTAAATATAATAATCAAAATTTGCATTTGTTTAATGCAAGATCTGTTATCAAAATCGAGAGTTAGTGGTTCAAGTTTATTAAATCATGTTAAGTGTAGTGTAACTTTGAAACTGTCTCCACCTTGAACATTTCATTTATTCTTGCTTTCTTTACCATTAGTAGGTATTATTTATAATCTGCTTCCTCAATTCCAAAATAATTGAATTTGACCAAGTTTATTAGAAGCTATATCAACATCTGCACCACATAATTAGTTTCACTAGATTCATTGTAAAATACATTTTTGTAAAAAAGAGCTCACTTGTCTGTTCTTGATACTATAGTATACCTATTATGTCTGATCTCACATGTAGATAGGTGTATTTGTTTACATAAGAAAAATTACATGAAGTTAGTTCATGATCATGGCTTAGGGAAAAAAAGGTGTGCACTATGGTAAAAAGAGGTACAATTTTGTTCCAAGTAGTTTTCCAGAAACAATAATTTATCTTGTTCATATCCCTTTATTATTTGTCAACACCCCTCTGATCTTTCAGATGATAATTTTTCAAAGGTACCTACAGTTGCACAACAAGGTGGAGCTCCTCAGCGCTTTGGCATGGGTAAGCTCCTATGCCCTTCAAGATGATTTGAACTATTTGGCACTAGGTTACTCGTGATTAGTCGTCGATGTTGTGTTGCTGCAATGAAACAATATTGTTGATTAATGAAAGACAAGCAATCCTGGCATAATTCTTAAGTATATAGGCCTCACGAGTGAGGTTCAAATCACGTGAAATAAAAATGATGGTTCAGATAATAATAACTACTATTTATGTTGTTGTAATCAACTTACCATTTTGTAACAGAAGCATATTGTTTGTTACAGGTTTACTTGGTGGTCGGAGCCACAAAGGAAGTTGGAGGTGTAGACGTGAACTTGATGATTAAGAGGGTATGTACAATTTTGTATATTTGTAGATGTAATCGGGTGTAATTATTATTGAGGGCATGTGATCTGATGTTGGATGTATTATCTGGATGTATTATTGGCCACCTTTTAGAAGGTCTTTACTCAGTGAAATATTGAATAGAAATTTGTCAAATGCTTCAAATTATGGGCCTGTTCAATAGAAATTAATTATGTTGTGAAAGCTTGTTTGATTACATGTAATGGGTGGCGCTGGTTGGATGGAAATCATGGCTGGACTAAAATAAATGGTCTAAACTACCACAATAAATAATGCGGATGCCACGTCACATCCATGCTGGTGCCATGTAGATGCCACGTCAAGCCCATTTTTGTGCAACGTCATCTCAATCCATGACGGACTAGTCTGTCACAGAGGACCGGGCCTGGGCGGGCCTAGGGACTGACCGGTGACGGTCAGGATCCGTCATGGTGGTACAGTTGTCAAATTATGACGCGATATACATGACGGATTTTAAATCCGTCAT